TGTGAGATTTGTAAACAGAACCTGTACACAACCCGGTGGCTCGTGCCTGACTAGAGCTTTAAATTGATATTTCACCCCAAAATTAAATATCATTAGTAGTCATTATTTTCCCCTCTCGCGGCGTTCAAAACCTGTATGACTTTCTTAAGTGGAGCTCGAAGTTATTTTGAAGAATGTTGGTAGGCATTTGCAACATCAAACTTTTGCTTTTGCGCGCCACTAGGTGTCAGTATTATCAGTCAAAGCTAAAATTACTGGGTACATTATTCAGTACTGATGTAGAATTACATGTCCATTTGGTCAGACATCTTGCCTATCAAGATAATATGGTATACAGCAAGGAAAGGTCATCATGATTTACCTGCATACTGGAGAAGACAGACAGAGAGCTATAGCCTGAGAGAGACGAATCACTCCGACTGTGCATTGAGCCTTATATGAGAGAACACAAGAGGATAGTAACAGTAACAACAACAATTATTATTACTACTACTACTTCTACTACTACAACTTATCACTGCTTTAGCGTTTATGGATGCTTTGGTAATACTGTATGTAACAATCATGGCAATACAGAACTTTGAATTGATATTTGATTTGAGGAGTTTGAAGAAAGAGTAGTAACAAACAGTTCAAAGTGAACAAACACCAAATTATTATGCATGAAAACAGGAGGGAAAGTAGTGGAGAAATCTATCGGTCAGTTATTTAGCAAAGCTGTACTTGTTCTAATATTGTGAAGTAAAAATAAAAAAGACGTACCGGAGCTGTTGCTGTGATGGGAGTGATATACAGGGGAGGTAAAGGACGTGCTCAGGGGTGTATGTGTCTGAGAACAGGAACTGGTGCCCCCTGATCTCCTCTGGTTTCTCAGCTTTTCCTCTCTTCTCCACTTAGCTCTCCGATTGGAGAACCATACCTGTCAATCACCCAATATGGGCCAGTGCATAATGGACAGTGTCTTTATGTATTGTTTAAAGGCACTTCAGCATTAACACCATAACATCTCAAAGAGGATCATTCAAATATTTTACAAAGCCAGTATCACCTGAATTCTGGCCTCTGGAAGATCAATCTTTGCAGCCAGTCTCTCTCTAGCAAATACATCTGGGTAATGAGTCCTTTCAAACTCTGGAAAACAGATTTAACAGAAGACCAAACATTTAATACAAGCAGAATTGCGCATTTTTATTTTTGAAGGGATAGTTTAACCCAAAAATGAGAATGTTGTCATGTAGTTCCAAACCAGCGTGACATTCTACTGTTGAACTGATTTTGGACCCCATTGACTTTCATTGTATGGACAAAAAAACGCAGACATTTTTCAAAATATCTTCTTTTGTGTTCCACAGAAGAAAAACATTATTCAGGTTTGAAACAACATGAGGATGAGAAAAAAATGTATGCAAAATGTGTAATGTACATGAAAGTATAAGAAAAGGAATGTGGCAGAATATGAAAAAGATCCGTCTTTCCCAAACGCAAACAGCAAAAACAATCCCACACAAATACATCCTCTCTAGGACTGAGATTATTTTGCATGGAAAGCTCAGTCCGAGCCAGCGCTTTGAGTCACACCTTTCTCCAGGGCATCTATCTG